CGTCGAGCTCAACGCGCTGCAACGCGTCCACCGCGTAAAGTGGTTTCCTGGTTGGGACAGCGTGACTGAAAGCCACATTGACCACATGACCTTTGTGGCTGGTGGGGAACGAACCATTTAGGGCTGGAATGCACCGCCACCTCCTCTATTGGTAGCCAATCATAAATTAGGAACGAACAGTGGGTCACCAGGGCCAGGTTCACACCTTCCTCATTCAGGCAGGAACCACCGAACTGGAAAAGCAACGAAGAATGAAAGATTCACCCCTTATTCTCATTCTATTACCCTCTTTGAAGGATTTGACTGTTTTGTTGAACACAATATACCATGCTGTAGTAGTACGCGCCATCTCAATACTATCCTACATAGACTGTAACCGATTCTAAACAGTATAAGGCCACTGAGACAGTCACTTTCCACCCCCAGAGCGGGTGAAGCACCCACCCTGGCGCGTGAGACGGTAAGTGTTCAGCTAAGGAAGCGCCATGCAGTTTCGGCAGGCGCCTTGATGTCATCCCGGTGAGGATCGGCCATCCCCAAATCAAATGGCGCTTCTGCCCTGCTGCCTTTGGGCTGCCCCCCAAACGCTTCTCTGACTGGTGGAAGGAGCTGCAAAGTGGGTGCCACTGTTGTCATTGTTTGGTCTTTTCTATCTGTAACACGTTTTTCCCCTTCGCTTTTGTCGCTGCAGCTCCATTATTTGGCTTGGTCTTAATCCCCCCCCAATCCATCCCCCTTGTGGTCATTGTCTCTTTATTTAGACAATTCCCCAGGTATTTGCTCTCTGTTAGCGCTGTCTTTTCCACCAACAGTGGTTCACCTCATCCCCTTACATGCACTGATTGGTTCTCCCCACTTCCGCCCTCATCTCATGGGCGTCTATGGAGCACTGCTAATTGCTACCGTTACTACTAATTTTGTCGCCCTCGCCTGTGACGTGCTGTTTACTCAATTGTATAACTGTCCTCCCTCGTGATGTCTGCACCTTTCTTTCTTCCTCCCTTCACCCAGAATCTAGAACTCTTTTAACTACTGCGACTTCATTCATCACCTTTCTGGTGGCTCCTTACCTCCATAAGCCACCACCAGCACCTGCTCCGAGCTACCAAGTGGTGCTCGCTGCTCCCTCACTATGACCACAGATTTGGGGTCGGCGCTGGAACACGCCGGCGGCAGTGGCAAGGATAAGGAGGGTATCTCCATCGGAACTTTCGTTGCTTCCCTAACCACTGCCATCGTTGTCTTTGCTGTGGAATTTTTGCTCTTTATTCTACTCAAGGGAAAGCTCACTCGTATCTAGTAAGTGATCCACCTGTAACTATAGTCGAGGAGACATGACTGAAGCTGATCGATATCCAGTCAACCAAGAACCTACCTAGTCTCAGACAGGGAACGTACGCAACCATCCCCGCCGGGATTCTTTCGATGGATCGTCCCCGTGTTTCGCACTTCTAGCACTGAGTTCATACAAAAATGTGGCCTCGACGCTTACTTCTTTCTCCGCTACCTGCGCATGCTTCTCAAGATCTTTATCCCGCTAGGATGTCTAATCCTGCCAGTTCTTTTGCCTTTGAATAAAGTTGGCGGCAAGGACACGAGCTACAAAAATGGTACAGCAGCGGATGGCCAATGGAACGTCACTGGTCTGGATCAGCTTGCCTGGGGCAACGTCAAACCTGAGCACACATCACGCTACTGGGGCCATCTGGTCATGGCTGTCATCGCCATCTTCTATGTCTGCGCCGTGTTCTTTGACGAGCTCAGAGGGTATATCCGTCTCCGGCAGGCCTACTTGACGTCCCCCCAACATCGACTGCGAGCGTCTGCGACAACTGTTTTAGTTACAGCCATCCCTGAAAGCTGGCTTTCCGTAGAGGCCCTCGAATCACTGTTTGATGTCTTCCCGGGAGGAATTCGAAACATCTGGATTAACCGCAATTTTGACGATCTCAACGAAAAGGTGAAGCAGCGCGATGAGCTGGCTCTGAAACTTGAGGCTGCTGAGACCGACCTAATTATCAAGTGCAAAAAGGCTCAGCTGAAACAAGCGAGAGCTGAAGCCAAGAAAGCCGGAAAGAACCCAAACACAGCGGAGACAAAGGAGAAGAAAGACGCCGACAGGAAGGCTTCAGTGCTGGCGCTTGATGGGGGTGTCAGCTCCGGTAATCCCCACCAAGCTCGCACTCTCGACCAGATCCTGCATCGTACCAAATCGAAGAAGAAGCCGGAACAGCCAGGGCCAAAGAAACGACTAAACCCGTTGGACCCTGCCGTCGAGGCAGCAGAGGCAGTCGGTCAGGGCATGGGAAAGCTGGGAAAAACTATGATTGGGGGGTTCAAGAAAGTCGAGCATGGACTGGACGGAACGTTGGCCCGATCAGGTGGATTTGTGCCGGGCGACGCTATGGTCATTCCTCCTCACCATTCAGAACCTGAAACCAACGAAGCCAACGACGCCAATGATGGGGAGCTCCAGGTTTGGTCGACAGATCCCCGTGATCATGCCGAGCTCACCCCGGAGGCTAGTGCATCAGAAGCGCGACCGGCGTCTAGACCGAAAAGGCCGTTTTGGAAAAGCCAATTGTCCAAGGATTCTAAGACGAGTAGTGAGCCTGATGAACTGCCCCTCACGGCCCCAGAGTCTCCTGTGGAACACGAGGAGGTGGAGGCCTCTGGATCTGAAAGCGGCAATTCAATCAAAGAAAAGATCCCCTCCGACAATCCAAGAGGATTCAAGGAGGGCGATCGGGTACAGGGAGAGGAGTATCCCATTGCTTACAATGAAGGCTTCGACAACGAGGATTTTGGAGAACCGCTGTGGCAGAAATACATAAGACCCAAAGATCGCGATACGATGCGACTACCAATTTTCGGCCTCAGTTGGATGCCATCATTGTGGCTCATCGGCAAGAAGGTCGACACCATCGACTATTGTCGCAAGGAGTTGGCGCGCCTCAACCTGGAGATTGAAATTGACCAGCAGAATCCGGAGAAGTTTCCCCATATGAATTCAGCCTTTATCCAGTTCAACCACCAAGTCGCCGCACATATGGCTTGTCAGGCCGTCAGTCACCACGTTCCCAAGCAGATGGCGCCTCGTCTCGTCGAGATCTCACCAGACGACGTCATCTGGGACAACATGTCGATCAAATGGTGGGAGCGTTATCTGCGCACGTTTGGCATTATCGCCGTTGTCTGTGGGATGGTGATAGGCTGGGCAATTCCCGTGGCGTTCACTGGTTTGCTTTCTCAGCTGTCATACCTGGAAGCTGCGTTTACTTGGCTATCCTGGCTTTCTACATTACCTGGATGGTTTATCTCTGCCATCCAGGGTGTGTTGCCTGCACTTTTCCTCGCTATTCTAATGGCTATCCTACCCTTGATCCTTCGCTTTCTCAGTCGAACACAAGGTCTCTCCACGGGTATGGCCGTCGAGCTGACCGTTCAGAACTATTACTTTGCATTCCTGTTCGTGCAACTGTTCCTGGTTGTGACCATCTCGTCCAGTTTTTCGACCATCATCAGCAACGTGGCCGACGTTACCAGCTGGCCTGAACTTCTGGCGCAGAACATTCCCTCGTCTAGCAACTATTTCTTCTCGTACATGATTCTTCAGGCAATGTCAGTGAGTGCTGGAGCTCTGGTCCAGATCGTCAACCTGGTAAGCTGGTTCATTCTCGCACCAATCCTGGACAAGACGGCGCGGAAGAAATGGGGCCGCACAACCAATCTGAATCAGATGCAATGGGGTACATTCTTTCCGGTGTATACCACGCTTGCGTCCATTGGTAAGCCTGATTCCTTAGTATCCCGATGGCTTTTTTTGCTAATTTGAATTTTAGGGTTGATCTACTGTGTCATTGCACCTCTTATCCTAATCTTCAACGTGATCACGTTCAGTCTCTTCTGGTTCGTCTACCGGTATAATACGCTTTACGTGACCAAATTCCGCTTCGATACGGGTGGACTGCTTTTCCCTCGAGCCATCAATCAGCTGTTCACTGGTCTATATGTCATGGAGCTCAGTCTGATCGGACTGTTCTTCTTGGTCCGGGACACGCAGGGCGAAGTTGCTTGTGAAGGACAGGCGATCATCATGATCATTGTCTTTATCCTGACAGCCGGCTATCAGATTCTCTTGAATGACGCGTTTGGGCCTCTGTTCCGTTACCTGCCCATAACGCTGGAGGACGACGCAGTGCGCCGTGATGAGGAATTTGCTCGGGCCCAGAGAACCCGCCTAGGTCTCCCTAATGAGGAGGAAGAAGATCCGAATGACACTATCGAGCACCAGCTGGCTGAGCGTGAACATCGTCAGCATCAGATTGACCGAATGTCGCACGATATCGAGTTAAAGACGCTGGAGTCTTCCTCCCCCGAGCGGCAAAATCACCACACCATGCATAGGCCGCATCTCGGACCGCAGCGTCGATCCTGGGCTGAACGATCACCAAACCGGCGGTCACCATACTACAAGGCCCACTCCAATACTCAAGTACCCAGTGTCCAGCGTCTGCGCGACAGGATCGCACAAGACGCTGAGGCCCAAGGCCCTCCTTCGCGCAACGTTGGGACCACGCTCTTTTCCGGCATCCACGATGAATTGGAGGACTTGACACCTGACGAGCGTGATCAGCTCGTTCAACGTGCCTTTCAACACGACGCATTGCGTGCCAAGCGACCAGTGATCTGGATCCCTCGCGACGATCTTGGGGTCAGTGACGACGAGGTGTACCGCACGCAGCGGTTCAGCAAGCACATCTGGATCAGTAATGAGTATCAGGCGCTGGATGGGAAATGCCACACAATCTTCAGCCGCAGTCCGCCCGACTTTTCCGAAGTGGACCTCATCCAGTTATAAGGCGTTTGGCTGTATCAGTAAGCTGTATGATTGACGACTATTTGTTTTTGCTTGCAGTTTTTGCTTCATTCGGTTCATGGGATAAGGAATTTGCATTTACAGGCGTTGGGTGCCATTCTCAAGGGTTATAGGAAAGCGTGTGTACATGATTACCCAAGATGCCATAGATGGAGATACATCACAAGCAATGTCTATATAGTACTATAGCAACACCAACCAAATTTCTATCCACCTCAATCCATAAACTTACAGATAGGCAACCGGTACTTCTCAATCCGCCAATACGGCCTTCTCACACCCTCCCACTCACCCTCCAACGCCGGCACCTCCAACTCCTCCCACTCGACATCAAACCCAGCCTCAAACAGATCCATCTCCACCACCTTCTGATAAACATCATAACTAATCTGCCTATCAGCGCCCATCCCATTAAAGAATCCCCAACGCCCACTCCCATGTTCTCCATCCTGCTCCAAAATCCCAATCACCTGCTCCGAAAAGAACTCCCGGAAATCACTATACGACTCGGCAAACGTATCATAGTAGATCGCATCAACCACCACTCCCTCGCCCACCAACGCAGGCAACACATCCTGCCACCGGCCCTCATGGATCCGGACTCCAGGCTTCTGATCCCATCCCTTGCGCTTCATCTCCGCCACGACCTCCGGGTGCGCCTCCACAATATGGTGCTCACTGGGGCCATGCGACTGCAAAAACGTATCGACAATGCCCATCCCGTGCCCGATGTTCATGACCCGCAGCCCGGGGGTGGGGAGCAGCTTCGCCGCGGACTTCTCCATGATAGTAGATTCCCACGACATCATCACACCATTTTGGTCGCTGTCCAGAAGTCGGTCGTTTGTGAAGGTTAGGTTCGAGTCGAGGTAGCGCGGTTGCGTGACGGAGGGGTCTTCTCTTGCTGCTGCTGCTGGTTGTTCTTCAGTGGTAGCAGCTTCAGCTTCAGCTTCAACAGCAGTAGTAGCTTCTTCGACACCCTCTCCCTCCTGCTCTTCTTCGTCTTCATCATCATCATCATCATCATCCCCCAACGCCTCCCACCCCTCCTCCAACCTGCCCAACAACAACTCCGCCCGAACCCCCGCATCCACAATCATCTCATAAACCTCCATCAACCCCAGCCGTCTCGCAATACATCCCGGTGTCTCATCATTCAGATCCAGATCATTCCAGATCGCGCCCTCGCCGAGCAGGTACTTGACTGTTTCGACGACGCCTGCGCTGTCCCCATCGGCATTTGAGTCGACGCCATTCGTCTGCTTCTCGGCATCATTGTTCTCCTCCTCCTCCTCCTCCTCCTCGCACGCAGCAATGGCCGCGTGCAGCGGCGAGAACCCCGTCTCCGGGTCCTTGACGTTGGCGGGGTTTCCGGGCGTTTGGTTCTCGCGGATGAGGCGCCGGAGAAGCGGGATGTTGTGGGTGGATGCGGCGAGGAGGATTTCTTGGGTGTTCAGGTCCAGGTTTAGGGCCATGTTGGGGTCTTGGGTGAATGTTATTACGGGGTCGGTGTCGGCCATTTTTGGCTGATTGGTATGTCTGGTTTAATGGGAGGGTTTAGTTGGTTGTTATTGTTGTTGTGAGGATGGTGGGGGAGGAATTGGATATGCGCGGCGGCGGGGTGGGGAGGATTTTATTTTGAGCGGGGAGAAATTGGATTGGGCTGGGTTGGGTTGTGTGGGTGTAGTGTGGGTGGTTTTTGAGAAACTTACAGTTAATTTGATTATGGTAGAGGTGTTTTGGGGTTGGAATGGGTTGTAACTCCCATGTAAAGGATGTGTTCTACTGGGTTGAACTGGTGGTGGATGATTCCGCTGGTAGAGATTTCCGCCGCCGCATTCGTCCCCGCCGCAGCTCCGCTGCTACGGCACATCCATATTACACGATAACTTCATACACTGACTGTAATCACCCGACTTATGTAGAAGAGAAGAGAAACTGATCGCCGTTGCTCGAACCTGAGAATAACTATTTGTACAAGTACCCGATTCCATTCACCTGTCGTCCTGTCGGACGATCTTCATAGCGCCATGTCTTGCTACACCATTAACAAAGTCCCCATTGCTCTCCATCGGTTCATCCATCCGCTTATTTCGTGTCGTCGGAGCCCGCGTTGACGTTCAAGCCCAGTCCCTGGCTGTCCAGGTACAGCTTGTTCCGGCCACCGTTCTCCTGCAGGATCTGGGCGATATGGCGGGCGTTCTCGATCTTCCGCAGCTCGATGTAACTCTTGCTCTTCTTGATGGCGTCACCAATCAACTCGGCTGAACGAGCCTCACCCTGAGCGCGCACAATGAATGCTTGCTTCTCCTGGCGGGCCTTGTCGACCAGGAACGCGGCCCGCTGGGCTTCCTGCTGAGCAACCTGCTTGGCTTCGACGGCGGCGGTGAATTCGGGGGAGAAGGTCAAGTGCTATGGCAGGCATTAGCGAGTGGGTAAGAGAGGAAGTAATAGTAGGATTAGCATACCGTAAGCGACACATCGTCCAAGGCAATGTTGAAGCGAGCAGCCCGACGAGCAAGGTTCTCCCGGACCAAGCGGGCAACGTTCTCACGCTGAGTGATCAACTGACTGGCGTTGAATTGTGCCACCACGCTCTTCAAAACCTCGTTCACAATCGACGGAAGCACACGCTCGTCAAAGTCCTGTCCCAGGGTACGGTATATTTGGGGGAGGGCATCGACACGGGGTCTGGACAGGACACGGCAGGTGATGTTCACCATCTGCAAGTCCTTGGTACCGGTAAGGGAAGCAATATTGCGCGGCTTTGCGCGGACATCGTAGATAATAGGAGTTTCGACCCAGGGAATCCGAAGATGAGTTCCTAAAAGGATAACTTGTTAGATGAAGCCGAATGCAGCACATTGGATATGCGTACCTTCACTGTAGATTTCCTTCTTGACACCACCTACTCTGGAGTACTTGATCGCACGGTGACCACCATCAACTGCAGTAGCCGTCAGAAAAAGCACCATTTCCACCCGTTATGCACGAGAATTAGCTCACCGTTAAACATCGAGTTGGAAACAGCATATACTCCAAGACCAGTGAGGAACAAAGTAGCGAGGCCCATGCCGGCACGAGGATTACCACCACCGAAGCCGCCACCAAAACCGCCGCGGCGGTTTTGGAGGGCCATCTGGAGCTTGTGCAACTGATCCCTAGGGTTCCCGGACATGGTGATGGGGGGAGATGAAGGTGAGGGAGAGACGGGGAAGAGGATTGGTGTAAGCGGCGTCACTTTGGCTTCGTCGCTTTGGAAGCTCGAATTCGCGGCAAATCAATCGCCCGATTCGTCACCGCCTTGGCAGATGCTGCCGCTTTTCGACATCATCTTCGCTCTACGGACTTATCTTTCATTCATCTCCCATTACTTCAAAGAACTTGTTGCCATTGCTTCTCGGGTGTTGCTCCCAGGGCATTGTTTAGTTCTTCTCAGCTTCTTGTCAGGTTCCAGAGAATTTACCATCTCCTCCCTCGCGCATCTTCCTCATATCTCCAACACCTCCTCTTCAACCACCAAAACACCTATCTATACCATCCCCTCTTTTCTCCTCAACCACAATCATGGCTCCCGGAGCCGGAAAGAGTGTCTTCCTGGGGAATATCCCCTATAGTATGTCTTCTCCCTTTGACTTTCGTCCCCCACAACCAACCCAATGGCAATAAACTAACCCATCACTCTCCAGACCTCACGGAAGAACAAGTCAAAGACATCCTCAGCTCCGCCGGCACAGTAACCAAGTTCCGCCTGATGATGAACCCCGAGACTGGTAAACCCAAAGGTTACGGTTTCGCCGACTTCGCCGACGCCGATGCGGCCGCCTCCGCTGTCCGCAACCTGAACGACTACGAGATCATGGGCCGTAAGATTCGGGTCGACTGGCCACACAACAATGAAAAGGACTCCATACCCCCCGACTACTCCCAGCTCTCTGCACCCGCTGTCCAAGACGGCTCCCAACAGCAACAACAGCAACAGTCCGCGCCTCTCCCTCCTCTGCCCCCGGGTGTTGAAGTTCCTCCGCATCTCGATTGCCCCAACGCCATCTCTCAGACACTCGCTTCCCTGCCCCCGAACCAGCTCCTCGATGTCCTCTCCCAGATGAAGTCGCTTGTTATGGCGGATCCCGCCAGAGCGACAGAACTGCTACGCCAAGCCCCTCAGCTCGCCTACGCAATTTTCCAAGCCTTGCTGCTCATGAACCTGGTCGATTATGGTGCCCTCGGCTCGGTGGTGGAACAAGCAAGCCAACCTAGTGCACCTGCGCCCCCTCCTGCCGCCGCGCAAGCCTTCCAGCCCTTCTCCGCTGTACCGGGACCGGTGTCTACGCCTCCAATGGTCAATACTCCTTTCGCTGCCGCTGCACCGCCGCAACAACCTCCGCAGGCTATGCCAGGACAGGAAGAGCTTCTACAGCAAGTCCTCAGTATGCCGCAGGCTGCGATCGATGCGCTCCCACCCATGGAGCGCAGCCAGATCATGCTCCTCCGGCAGCAGTTGATGCAGGGTGCTATGCGGTGATTGGGCAATACCTCATATCTACCCCTCTGAATCTATCTTATACCCCCTCCCTCTCCCTCCCATCCCCTAAATGAGGAACAAAAAGGAACCGGGCGCAAAACAGCATCAGGCAGCACCTCTGATGCAGGATGTCTCGGAACGAACAACCTACTTTGTTCTACAATCCTCATTATCTCTCCATCTTGATGTTAGCAACGTCATGGCTTTCATTGATTGACTGATTGATCAACAACCGGAACCGGGTGTGAGTTTTGGCGCAATACGGGCATGTTGGTGGGGTTTCAAATTGCGGGTTCTTTATTTTTCTTCTACTGAAGTTGCGAGACACGGGCTGAGATTTCCCTCTCTCTTTTTCCTTACTCGCGAAGTTCCGGAATGTACATGATAGTATAGCAGCAGCTGTAGCGGATATCCCAGCAAATTGGTTTTGCTTCAGACAGACCAGCAGTATTGATTGTAAACTTCTAGTATTCTATCCATGTCCTCGTCTTAACCTGTATTACTTTCTACGGTTATAAATTCCCAAATATGAATACTATATCCCCAGGCCACATATATATCAAGTATCTTCTCTATATCCTCGTCGTATTTTGTATTACTATCGTAAATTATAAGATATATGCATTCCTGCCTCTCGACCACATACTAAAACCTCCATATCCCGATCGTAACTCGTTATAATTCTCCTTAGTAAATTGGTAAATTCATAACCCATGCAATCTATTCTCTAGACCACATAGAAAGTACTAGTACCACATCTATACTACGTTCGTATCAACTTATATTAGTAAGTGAGTACTTTCCTACTCATCAAGAATTTGAAGAGATGTGTTTTGTTTTCTGACTAGACCACATACTAGTTCCCCAGTACCTACTACTATCTCATCGATACCCTCATCTTATCTAGTATGTATCACTTCTTCCCTTGTAATTAACCCAAGTATGTAGTTAGCATTCTCCAGATTAGTAATGATAGTAGTATTTAGTACAACCCCCTGCCCTGATATCTCCAAAGTACATACTCAACACTGCCTTCCGAATCTATTTTACTGATTTAGCTATATTTTTCTCTTTTTGGATTTACTTGCGTGTATATGTTCTACAGTTAGACTGCGTAGTAGCTGTTTAATAACGATGGATATTGAAATACCGTGTACTAAGTAGTATCCATCTTCCTGTCTGGTTAGTGTGAAGCTAGCTACGTTTTGAAGTAGCGATACATCATAGTCTACTGTTTGCCAGGCACCAGGGGCACATCTATGAGAAGACATCAATAGTAGACAGCATAATGCACGACAAGGCAGAGGCCTGCTTATATTGTATCTAGATAGTCTTGCTATCACTCCGTCTACTCCCATACCAAGCAGACCACTCTCAAAAACAACACAATATAAGCCCTCCATAGTTCCTCGCCGTGCACATCTCGCCATGGGTTCACTCGTTTCCCAAATCCCCCGTACAACAAAAACCGTCTCGTGAAGATTCACAAACAAGCAGCACACCATGGCGACAGCCATTCACTAGTAGGAAAAGTTTTCATAAGCCCACACACGGCCTTTCCCCCCAAAATTTCCTCTGCCATGTTTCTCTTGTGTTATGTACTCTTCCTACCTATCTCTCCTCCATCTCATCTTTCACTTTGTATCTCCTCCACGTGACCTTTCTCGACCCTATCTTCACCCTCCATCACAGCATTCGTTCAGTGCTTCTGAAGCTTCAAGTCTTCGTTTTGGTCGTTCGAACCTTCTCTAAAGATTCTCTGTAGTCTTTCAAATGTCTTCTTCTCTGAAAAGAACCTTGTCTTGGTCGTCGGATCTTCCGACGCGTCCTTCGAAACGGATGGCGCAGGAGATGCCCGAAGATGATGCTATCCTTTCTTCGGATGAATATGATTCAGACATCATGGATTTTGAGCGTGACGAACCTGTCCATCCTTCTAGCGAGGACGAGTACAACGAGAACGGTCTTAATCTTATGTTGCCTGAAGTAGTCAGGTCCCAGTTGCCATGTGGTCCTCGATCTCCTCGGACCCAGCTCGCTTTGCATCTCCCTCCCCTCCATGACCTCAACGACATCTATAAGTCGATCACAGAAAAGGCAGTGGAGCTGGGATTTGACCGTGTATTGTCCCATCTGGGCTCAAGACGCCTTCGCATTGCGACTGTCTGCTCCGGCACCGAGTCCCCTATTCTGGCTTTAGAAATGGTTCAGAAACGTGAGTGATCTGACATTAGCCTCGTCTATATCGAAACTAATTTGTCTGTAGATCTGCAGGAGCAGTTCAATATGACTTTCGAATTCCGTCACATCTTCAGTGCTGAGATCGACCCTCTCAGACAGGCGTACATCCAGCGAAACTTTCGTCCACCTCGCCTCTTCCGTGATGTGAGGGAACTCAATCGTCGTGTAGCGTAAGTAGAGCCCTCACTTTGTGCTGTTCAGGCCTAACTCGATCGCACTAGTCAAACAGCGTATGGGTCTTTGGAAAAGGTTCCCAAAAATCCTGATATCTTGGTTGCCGGTTTTTCATGCGTTGACTTCTCGAATCTGAATAACAAACGGAAAACACTTGATGATAAAGGTGAGTCGGGAGGGACTTTTTGGGCCATTATCCGGTACGCAAAAGCCTATAGGCCTCCCTTGATTATACTCGAGAATGTCAAGAGCGCCCCATGGAAAAGAATTCAGACGTACTGGCAGGACATCGAATACCATGCCACTCACCTCGACGTCGACACAAAGGCATACTATCTGCCACAAACACGGGAGCGAGGATACATGCTCTGTGTCGATAAGAAAGCCACGGACAAGGATGAATCTTCACGGTTCCAAATAGGTCGTTGGTCACGCACCATGACTGAATTCAGGCGCCCCGCTAGCTCTCCAGCCGGCATGTTTCTTATTGACGCAGATGACAAGAGGCTCGAACAAATTGAGTCCGATATGGCGACACGCGCAAAGCTGGCTCGTAAACCGGTAAACTGGGACAAATATCAGGCCCGCCATCTGTCTTACCGTCAGGATAACGCTCTCGGTGACAAACGCCCAGTAAGTAAATCGCAGGACGATGGTAGCTGTCGTATGCCCGACTTCTGTTGGAGAAAATGGATGGCGTCCTTGCCAGAGCGCATTTGGGAGACTTTGGACATGAACTTCCTGCGCAAGATGGCAGAAGGTTACGACATGCACTTTAAGGAGTCAGTGACAATCTCCTCTCTAAACAACTGATTGAAACTGACTTGTATTAGGAGATGCATCGAACTCTCACAGGGGATCGAACGTGAGATAGACGTACGGGCCCCAGGAATCGTTGGGTGCATCACTCCAGCCGGTATCCCATATATTTCGACCAGAGGCGGCCCTCTCTGTGGTCTCGAGTCGTTGGCATTGCAAGGCCTGCCCCTCGACCGACTTCTACTAACACGTGAAACCCAGCGTGAGTTGCAAGACCTTGCAGGAAATGCAATGACCTCTACGGTCGTCGGTGTAGCGATACTTTCTGCATTGATCAACGGACATAGGATCCTAAAGCCAGGCCAAGGCGCACCCATCGGAAAAGTATCATCTCGCAAAAACCACCGTGTTCTGCCTCAAGACGGTCATATGATGACACCACATGACATACAGCTCACCTGTGCTGCTCGCACCGATATTTCGCAACTCCAGATGCGGGCAGCAAGCAGTGCAAGATACTGCGTCTGCGAGAGACAGACCAACATAAGCTCGGGTATCTTGAGATGCACCTTATGTCACCACACGGTCTGCTCCGAGTGTGCAGGTAACCCTTCACATGCTTTCGAACGCTATGATGATCTCCACCGCACCATGCCGTTGGACTTTGTCAGTGAACTCAATCGTGATTTGCCAGCTAGATTAGTGATTTCTGGCATTTCTTCAGATTGTTATGCGTCTTTGGCTCGCGACACGTCGCTGAATTGTCCTGCGTATGTCTGGAAAGAATTTTTGGATATAATTGAGCCAGCTGTAGGCGATGAACTCCGGATCCTGACTATCAAGCGGAGCGAGATCTGGACCATCCAATATGAAGGCAAACACTCTTTCTTACGTCTGTTGATCAGTGCGTCCGGCATTGAATGGAATTTGTTTGCCAAACCTCCAAAGGACACTCCTGCACTTTGTCTGATACGAGAGATCCTGTCTAAGCCCATTGCTCGCATGATACCTGTGTCTGCGTCACTTATGGAGGGAAATTGGGAAATCTGTGGGCCTCTGAGCTCCAGACGGACGCTGTATTTCTCCGGATCTGGCGAGAAAGTCGAGTCTTATGAAGTTGAATGCGGCCTCAATACTGCAGAGGTTGATGGAACAGATCGTTGGGCGGAAATTCAAGTTGAAGGTCCCGATTCAGCGGTGGCGGGCCTAGAGGCAGACATCCGGGGGACGTATGATCTTCTGCCAGACTGCGGTACGGCACACGCTTCACTGCACAAAAGATCAGCTGGTGAGTACGATCGCCCGGTATTCCTCTTCCTGGACCCGACGAAGCTCGGGGATGCAAACAAAGATTTCTTCGTATTTGCCTGGGACCATGAACGTGTTCGCGGTTACGAACAGAGAAAGACCATCGCAGAGGTGTCCCACTCATGGCGTTCACCCAAAGCCAGCGAGGTTCCACAGCCCGTTCACATCTACTTCCGTCAATGGATTAGAGCACCCAAGGTGGCCCTGAACCTGTACCTCCCTGGCGCACCTATCTCATGCCAAAGGTTGAATGAGGCGACCAACATCACGATTTCCCGATCAGGGTGTCATGAGGCTAATATTCCTTTGCTCTCGTTTAAAGCAGAACCAGCAGCCATGGAGGTGCTTTGGAAGAAAGAATCGTGGGAGATCATAAACCCAATAGACTCACCATCCTTGCTTCAGGACCTCTCTTGGCTCCTACAGAAAGCGGCAGTCATCTCAGGCTTTGAGGACTGGAACGCAGTCTCTGACACTGACACCCCTGGTGAGGACGGTAACTCGACATGCACATGTGTGCCGCTGAAACCGCGCATAATATGGGGCCGTGACAATAGAGGACGGATCATGGCCTATGAAGATCCATACGATGCAGCTCTCTATGAGCGCCAGGCGAAAGCAAGACCCCCGCCGTTCCTGATCTTCCGAAAGATCGATGAGCAGGGCCTAGCTGACTTGCGCGTCACTCTCAACGTCCAGTACCTATTGCATCAGGCGTATGATAAGTTGGTGCAAAATAGTATTGTCAAAGACGTGTCGTTTCACTGGCGCCTGGTCCCGAATTCGTTCGATAGTAGAAACGCCATGTTTCCCAAGTTCAAGCTTACAGACAACAAGTCTGACGTCGCAGTTCCACAGCCGCCTAACTTCCGTCTGGCTCTGCGGCCGGAGCAACTGAGATCACTATCGTGGATGGTCCGGCAAGAAGATGATGATGTCCCACCGTTCACGGAAGAAGAGACGGAGGAGGCGCTGCTTCCATCGTTGATGTGGCGCGCAGAGGGGCGAGTCACCAGTCAGAAGGCTATTCGAGGTGGTGTCATAGCTGATGATGTTGGTTACGGGAAAACAGCCATCACCTTAGGCTTAATCGATACGCAGCATGGAAGGGAGTATCTGCCAACCCCTGCGGAAATTGACGGGTTTATCCCGTGCAAGGCAACTCTTATTGTTGTGCCGCAAATTATGATCCAGCAATGGCAATCTGAAATCTCCAAGTTTCTGGGTTCTAGATTGAAGGTCTTGGTATTCGCACAGGCGAGTTCATTCGCAAAAGTGTCCATAAGTGACGTTCGGCGGAGTGACATCATTCTAGTATCCTGGTCAATCTTTAACAACCCAGCATACTATGAAAAGCTCCAGAAATTCACAGGCACTCCTCAGGCTCCCAAAAAGGCAGGGCGAAATTTTGACGCATGGTTTAAAGACGCTCAAGTCGCACTGAAAGAGCAAGTCCGAATTTTGACCAGCCAGGGTCCAAGCGCGCTTCTCGCGTCGATTCGTCTTAAGCGACAAACTACCAAGGGTTCTCAAACACATCTCACATATTGCCCGTCCCGGCGCCTCCGTGGTAGTCAGTACGTCAAAGGCAACCACGCGTCAGAACAAGAGGGCCATGAGGTATTGGCGGAGATATCGAGTGGTGAGGATACCGAGACAGAAAGCGAAACCGACACCCAGATGCTGAGATCGAAAACGGACCAGTACCTCAAAATCCAGAGTCATGAAAAAGATGAGTCGGTTGAGGAACCTGCATTAGAATCAGACGATGACACTCAATATGAAGATTCTACGACGGAGGACAAGCAAGTCCGACCAGGTCTTCCCAAAACAGCTGGCCGAAAGGCGAAAAAGTGGGACGATCGAAAGGTGTTCAACATAAGCAAAAGCAGAATTCAGGATTGGGGGGCCGTCAGAACCCCGTTTCTTCATATGTTCTCTTTTGATCGTCTTGTCATAGATGAATTCACATATGCAGACCCGGAAAGGCTCAGCCCGCTCCTCTCACTCAAAGCTCGATCGAAATGGGTACTGTCAGGGACACCGCCTCTCAATGATTTTGCCGACGTCAATGGCATTGCACCTTTTCTCAATGTGCATCTCGGAGTAGACGAGGATGACCGTCGATTACAAAACAAATATGTCAAACTGCGACTCAAGCAGCGCTCTGCTGCGGAAGCGTTCCAATCGTTACGGGCACCCTATAGCCAAATCTGGCACGAACGTCGACACAAGTTAGCCCAGGGATTCTTGGACCGGTTTGCACGGAGAAATGTTGCTGATATTGACGAGATCCCATCGTCAGAGCACATAATTGTGGTCCAGCAATCACCGGCAGAACGAGTAATCTATCTGGAACTCTGGAGGCAGATTATGACATACAACCGCCAGCTCCGTCGAAGTGGCCGAGGAAGGTTCAGCAGTGACCAAGCCAACCGGTTGGACGAGATTATTGGAACAAGTTCAACGGCCGAAGAGGCGTTGCTCAAACGTTGCTCATCCCTAGCGCTTCATGGTCGATGGAACGAAGACGGCGAGCCGGAGCTAACAACATGCGCATCCCTGATCGCCACCAGGGAGGAACAGCTCAATGATCTCAAAGACGAATTGAATATGGAATTGAAGTTGGCAGCGTGGCTTTACTGCCGTTTTGAATTTGATTGTGAGCACCTTTACAAGTTCATCGAAAAGTTCTTCGAGGACGATTTCGGTGATATGGCCATCACCCGAGAAGTTTATTCTTTCTTGAGAAAAGCATTCGATGCATCGGACGCTGATGACTGGGTGTACTTCTTTGATATTCCTGAAGAGCAAGTGCCAGGCGATAAAAGCAGCTCGTCTGATGCAGAAAACGATAGCGAGAGCAGTGAATCGGTGGCCAACGATGACCTCGATAATTCTTCCAAGCCCAAGGTCGCCAAGCAGAGCAACCAGCGAACCCAGGCCAAGAAAACCAGCGGCAGTAAGCATTCTGGAAATGACGACGATGACACAGACGTTTCGCTTCCCAAGAAGCCCGAGCGAGCTTGCGAAGCCGAACCAATTCTGAGAGAAGCCATAACAGCCATCCAAAGGCTCATCGGGGAATGGGCACTGCGCAAAAGCGGCATTAGGTTTCTCTCAGCTGTGCAGCTTCTGCTAACAGGTGCTGGACTTCCGCAATGCAATGGTTGTTGCTGCGGGTTGCAAGGTATCGAGGACACAAATGTCTCAGGATCGTGCGGCCATACTCTGTGCAAGGATTGCGCTTCAAAAACGTTGGCAAAAGAGGAGTGTATTGTGTATGGATGTCACGGCCCAATTAAGAAGTTCAATATCATCGCAGGATCCATGCTCGGAGAGGATAGCGTCGATGAGAGTGCAGAATACGGCGGCAGCAAGTTGGACAAACTGATTGAGATCCTCAACGGGATCCCCAACGACGAGCGGGCCCTCGTCTTCATACAATATCCCGAGCTCATCAAAGTCGCGTCCAAGGCACTGGATCTCGCCCAGATAAAGCACACGGCGATCTTAGCGACAGACCGCAAGTCAATGCAAAAGATCGCAGAGTTCCAAGAGGCAAGCTTGCAGGAAGACAAAGTGTTGATCCTGAATCTTGGAGGGGAGATGGCGGCCGGATTGTAAGTTACCCTCCCTCCCTCCCTCCCTGCCACCCCCCCTCTCCTAGTGTTGTTGTAGCTTGTGCCTAATGTAATCCGCAGGAATTTTCAATCGGCAAATCACGTTATTTTTCTATCTCCTATGAACGCCGAGACACAGTATGATTATGAGTCCGCAATGACCCAAGCCATCGGACGGTCCCGGCGTTATGGGCAAAGGCGTCACGTTCACGTCTATCACCTACTGGCCAAGCACACGATAGACGTGAACATCTTTCAACAACGCCGAGACAAGATATTGATAGAAAGGGACGGCAAGGCCGAGCTCGTGGCTCACGGAGAAGCCTTGGATGGTAAGGTGATCAAGTGTGAGGGGCCGCCCTTGGTTTTTAACGACGCGTTTGAGTGTTTGGAAAATCTCGTGCAGTGAGTTCAGTGAATGGTAGTGCGCGAATTTTCTGGCTTTCCGCCTTGCAATTTGGATTAGCGAAGGGCGGTGTTCATATTTGGGGTGTGGGTAGTTGTCAGAGTTAACTTCATCGAGTCACTGTGATTAGGAAGATTGAATTTGTGCTTCCCAGATAGCAAGACGAACTCGTAGTTCACAGTCCACGTGAAGTAGCTCCCGATAGGAAAGTTCATGTCCAAGATATTCATGACCAAATCGGGCAGAAACACCACCAGCAAATCAGTCAGACGTTCTTCTCTTATCTAAATTAGTAGAGTCCAAAGGCTGCAGTAACTACCTCATACCTCAGCACCGCAGCCCAGAAACAGGATCAAGGGTATGGATACTGAAATCCCAATTAACATTGAAAAGAACTGCATTGGTTACTGCTAACGAGATCCTCTATGGTAGTTGACATCAATCCCACCATATCCGACTTTCCCCCTACGCAAAAGAGAGAAATCAGAAACAACGTACTGTACATAAGCGTTACCTGGTGGCCCGTCCAGTTTCACCAACCAGGGCAGAAAAGGAAAAAGGAAAGGGGGAACATGACAGGAATTGGAACCATCCGGCACACGGTATCGAAACTATATTGTCTGGCTCGAATTATAGGTTTATCTTCATTTATTGTGTTTGCTCGTCCAAAGCCCCGTCCTTTCTCATCATCGTAGCCGGGTCCCACACGGGCTCGATCAGGTTGGTCAATCCCGCGCTGTTCTCGCATGTGTCTCTGCCGCTCAGAGGACCCGGAGCGGGCACCTTGACCGTCTGACCAGCCTCGGTGGCCGTGGCGGACTCCTTGAGAGCGGTGAGCAGCGACTTCATCGATTCGGGGGTAAGGTCCTCGTAGTAGTCGTCGTTGATCTGGACCATGGGAGCGTTGACGCAGGCACCCAGGCATTCGACCTCGACGAAGGTGAAGAGGCCGTCTTCGGTGGTGTGTCCGGGGGTGATACCCAGGTGTTCCGTGATCGCCTGGACGATCTTGTCGCTACCGCAACCACCGAGCTGGCAGGGTGTCTGAAATGGCTTGTCAGCGATGACGAAGACGAGGAAAGGTATGGCACGCGATGTAGGGGGTCTCCAATTTCATACCGTCGTGCAAAGCTGAACAAAGTACTTGCCAACCGGCTCACGGTTGTACATGGTATAGAAGGTTGCGACTTCGTAGACACGCATGGGGGGCATCTCCAGGAGACGGGCGACCTCGTTCATGACGCTGATGCTGGTGTAGCCGTGCTGGCGCTGACCAACGTCCAGGACCGGCATGACAGCGGCCTTCTTGTACTGGGGGGGATAGCGCTTGAGGATCTCATCGATGAGCTTGAGGTTTTGCTCGGTGAACTTGAACGGAACATTCGGGTTGTTATCGCCTTTGTTGCGGTGCTGGACAAAGTCAACTGGTTAGCAATGACGCCCTCGCAAAAGATATGGCTTTTTGACGCGCAATTGGCAAGCGAGATAATATCCGACATGCCGCCAAATCCGAGTCAGTCATAAGAGTGCTTGGGACGTACCACGGCAAGGGAGTCGCTGAAGCGTTGCGGACCAGCCGAGAAGGGTCTGAATTGGGTCTTGGGGATCTGCTGGAAGAGCTGGCGGCCAGTCCGCGGGACGGCGGGGAAGAATTTGGAAGCCATTGCTGGCAGAGGAGAGGGGACTGAGGGTATGGGGAGGGGATTGGAGGACTTGATCTGATGGATTGAAGGTGAACGACCGACTTGGAGTCGAAGAGGCGTTTTGCGGGAGCTGCGGCTGACCAATCAGCGCCGACAGATTACTCCCGCCTTGTGCCTATGAACGACCCTTTCGACGGCCTTTTTACAACATCACAGCTTCTTCAACACCATCCAAAATTCATGATATTATTTGATCAGCGTTAATCTGGCTTGCAGATTCATCTGGACTAACAACAGGCACCTCCACAACTCAATCTCCCCAAAACGCCATCGTGACACATAAACCGACCGGGCCTATAACCCAGCAACGCATCCGACATCCCCAACAGCCCATTACACATTTTCCATCTTATACACCTCATACGCCACCTCCTCATACGGATGAGCCTTGACCAATGCCTCGACTGCCTGCAGCATAACCGACCGTCCCAGACACATCACCTCCACCTTCATCTCCTCGACCGTCTCGACCGTCCCAACTTCGCCAATGGCAGGATTCGCACCCTCGGACGGCAGAAATTGGCCTTGACCGGGCATCTGGAAACAGCATTTTCTGTACTTGCCTCCGGGGAAAGTTCCCGCTCCGGTCGCGAAGACGGCTTCTTTACATGCTTCGAGGTCGGAATGCGGGACGAAGAAGACGAGTTTGTACCGGTCGGGAATGGGAGCAGCAGACATGGTTCGTTTCTGGTAGGTTCGAAGATAGGAGATCTTCTCGATTGTGGGAGGGTTGGTGTTGGTGATGCTCGTAGATGTATGTCGCGTAGAGGGTGCTTGTAGAGACACGGAGAGCGGAGATCTGGATGGTGATGATGATGACGATAATGAGAAGGTCCGGGAGAATCTGTACGAATGGAAGTTGCGGGAAACCCGTAAGATGGGCGTGCGGAGGATGCAACAGGCCAGCGGGGAAATGGTTGGTGGCATCTTGCAGGGTAATAGTAAGGAGTAGTATACTCTTTGTGTCTATCGCTATTAGATTCAATGTCTGGTGTTTAATGCGCCGCGGGCCACACTTCAATCTTAGTCATTGGCATGCGATCAGATAACTATAGCCCAGATACCACGAAATGAGCTACCATCTACACTACAATGTTTAATTAGTAACTAAGATCACGCTTTATTCAAATATGCATCTATCATCTATTCATTACACCAAACCCATAACCCCCATCTACACCATCAACAGACCTAACCCAAATGCGCAAACTTTCCAACATGGTCCTCAATCCTCCTAACCAACTCCAACTTCCTCTCCTCCTCAATCCAACTCTCACTCACACTATTCACCGCAATAGTCTTCCACTCCGAAACACTCAACCCAAACGCCTCCTGCACCGCACAATAATTATCCAAAATATAACCTCCAAAGTACGCCGGATCATCACTGTTAATCGAGAACTTGACCCCATTGTCCAAGAACTTGCGAATCGGCACCTCCCCAACTTCCTTCACACACTTCAACTGCACATTCGACAACGGACAAACCGTCAAGAGAATGCCCTCCCTCGCCACTCTTTCCATAAGCACCTCATCCTCCACCAACCGAATCCCATGATCAATACGACTAGCCCCCATCTCCAGCGCCGTACTAATATACGTCGGATCACCCTCTTCGCCCGCATGAGCCGTCAACCTGACGCCCCTCTCCCTAGCCGAGGCATAAATCTCCCTAAACATATCCTTGGGCGGGCCAACCTCAGATGACGAATACCCCAACCCATGCACAACCTCACTTTCAAAGTGCCCATTCTCCAGAATCTTCTGGTAGGTCTTCTCCGCCGAGTCAACCGGCAAATGCCTCACAAAGCAGAGAATCAACTTGGTCGAGAGACCCAGCTCTTTCTCGGCGCGCTCACACCCCGCCACGAACCCCCGCACGATGGTCTCGTACGGAATGCCGCGGTCCTGGTGGACCTGGGGATCGAAGAAGACTTCGGCATGGTGGACGCCGTCGGCGTGCGCTTTTTGGAAATAGGCCCAGGCGAGATCGGAGAAGTCGGACTCGTGGTGCAGCACGGACATGCCGATGAAGTAGAAGTGCAGGAAGTCGTCGAGCGAGGAGAAGTTGCCGTACCGGGCGGTAAGGGTGTCGATGGAGGTGTATTCGGGTGTTTGGGGTAGTTGGACGTTGTTTCTAGAGGCGAGCTCGAAAATTAGGTCGGGGGTGAGGCAGCCCTCGAGATGGACGTGGTGTTCACATTTGGGCAGGCCTTGGAGGAAGGCGTGCCAGTGGGATTCTTGGGGGGTGTTGAATTGGCACATGTTGTAGATGTCTCTTTGAAGTAGGGTGTAACAAGTATAGTAGAAGATAGTATTCCTATATAGAAGAACAACCACAAAACCACAAAAAAAAAAAACCGAGGGACACCACGACCTTATAAAATAATCCTCACAACCATCCAAGAAATGACTTGAGTATCTATCCCAAAGCGGTACTCCGTCCGAAGCAAGCTAAAAGTGTGGAGCGCAGATTGAGTCAAATGATAAAATCCCGCAGCCAAACAGCGATTGTTCCTGAGGCCCCACTCCGTGCCCCCGGTGGGTGGATTCGTCAGGCCACGAGACAACGATAAGCTTCTTTTTTTCTTGCCTTACGTTTTTCTTCTCTTCTTCTCTGCGCCGCGACTTTCCCGCCACGCTGAATCAGCACAGAAAACACAGATAAGGCCAGATGCGGATTAGGTATAGTTTTAGTTAAAGTTTGGGACACAGATGAGTTGATTAGCTGTTTGTATGCTAAGAATTTTCGGAAATAATAAAAGATATGAATAATATGATTCAATATCTAGACATGGGTTTTGCAAGATAGTACTCTTCGACTGCCGTATATGACACCTCTCCACAGATCTATTTCTTCAGATACTTAGGGATCTCTCGTCCACTGGGAGGATCTTTGATAAACTCGTTCAGCTCAGTGCTGAACGTGCTCTCCCACTCATCGGCATGGGATGGCGCCCATCCCAAGTTGCGAGCGAGCACAGCCTTCGTACGAGAGCTGTTTGAGAGAATAAAGTATCAGCAATCGCAGTGAATACGTAAGAAGAAGATGAAAGACATACTTTGAGGCAAAGCCAAGTTCAGCACTGGATGTGTTGTCAAAAACCCATTTCTCGCCTGCTTCCTGGATAGTAATCTTCGCCACCTCACTAGAGGGGGAAACGCCCAACTTATGGCCAGCCTTAGCCAAGTATTCCGAGAACTCCAGGCGTGAGTGCTCTCCTGTCTCACAGAAATAGATTCCCTTTCGACCAGAGGGGATCTCGATGCCTCGGAGAATGTGCTGAAGCAAGACCAGGTGTAGGGCTGCCAGATCCTCGATATGCACGTGGTTCCAAACAGTATCTCCCTCAGAAACAACACTGCAGCTGCCTGTACGCAGTGCATCCGCGATCATGGTAGGAAGCTGCATGGAAAAGCGATTGAATGGTCCACTTCCAAGACCAAAGATCGTGGGTGCCATTACAATGTAAGTAGTCACACCAGCGGCCTCGCCCTCCTCAATCACGGCAATGTCGGTAGTCCGCTGGAAGTACGTTTCACGGGATTCGCGATATTTCTCATATGAGTAAATATCCTCTTCATCGGAGAAGACATGGGTATCAATATGTCCCTCTGTATGCGGGCGATCGCTCAAGTTTGAGGTTCCGGAGATCTGGATATAGTGG